TAAACCCTAAACCCCAAACCAAGAGGCCCTGGCTCCAGTTGCAGCCGAGACTCTGGCTGGCTTCAAGCAGCTCTCGGGTTGCAAGAAGGGAGTTTCCAGATGGGAGCTTCGGAAAATAAGGGGTACCTTATTTGGGGGTCCGTATAGTAAGGATCCTACTATTTAGGGTACGATATTGGCTTTTTGGGTTTAGGGGTTTTGGGCTTTGGGGATTTGGGATTTAGGGTTTTAGGGTTTAGGCTTTTAGGGGTTTCGCTTTTAGGGTTTCGGGTTTTTAAGGTTTCGGGTTTGGGTTGTTTTTGGGGTCCTTTTTGTAAGGGTGCCGTATTATTTCTGGGACCTAAAGCCGAGATCATTTCAAAGTTGAAACTTTCACTGGGATCCCCAGTAACGTAGTCTTGGGTAGTTTCATAGGAAGCCTAAGACCTTGAAAAAAGAGCCAACTGGGAGACCAAGTGTAAGACATTCTGTAAGTGTTCTCTAAGCTTTCTAACGTCCTAGACGGGTTCTATAAATAAAGGGCAGCGGGAGTTCCTGGGTTTAGGCTTGTGGATTTCAGGCGGGCTGCAGCCATGCTGGCACCGGGTTGTTTTTGATGGAAGACCTTGGTGTGCTTTGGGTAATGCATGGGGTGTTGTCAAAGGGGTGTTGTCGTTGAGATGGCGGACCGGGTATTTTCCGAGTATTAAGTTTTAGGTTTCGGCATGTACATTCAGGGTCTCGGCTTGGGTCTTGGAACCAACTTTCGCCCTAAACCCCGAACGCTCAATCCTAAACCCCTACACCCTGAACCCTCAACCCAAAACCCAAAACCCTAAACCCTAAACCCTAAACCCTAAACCCTAAACCCTAAACCCTAAACCCTGAACCCTGAAACCTGAAACCTGAACCCCTGACCCCGAGCCCCCTGAGCCCCACTTCCGAGGACGTATGCGTTCAGTTGCTAAGCATCAACTTCTAGGGTTTAGGGTTTAGGGTTTAGGGTTTAGGGTTTAGGGTTTAGGGTTTAGGGTTTAGGGTTTAGGGCTTGCAGCCGCAGAGCTTAAGGTTTCGGGGAGGTCGGGTTTTGTGGTTTAGGGTTGGAGTTTAGGAACCCTCAACCCTAAACCCTAAGCCCTTAAACCCTTAAACCCTTAAACCCTTAAACCCTTAAACCCTTAAACCCTATAACCCTATAACCCTATAAACCCTAAACCCTTAAACCTAAACCCTAAAGCTTTGGTTTTAATGACTGGGGTTTAGAGTTTATTGTTTGGGAAGTTGGCGGCCTTGTCTCCGCCAAGCCCTGGCGCAAACACAAAAATCAAACTCTGTAGGGTTTAGGGTTTAGGGTTTAGCACACACCCTACGGCGAACCCCAGAAAGTTGTGAAGATTGGTGCTAGGATCCCTTATATTTTACCTTAAGGGGTTGAGAAGAATAATGTTCCAACTTCTACTATATACTGGCTCTAATACAGGGCTTAGGGGTTTAGGATTTAGGGTTTAGGGTTTCTGTGCGCAAACCCATACTGGCTCTAACTAATATAGGGGGCCTAAAGAAGTACCCATACTATTCTGGGGGTTCCTTCTTAGAATTATAGTATAGTCTACCCCCAAAACCCCATTCTAATTCTTCAGGCCCCTACATGTCACGTAGAACAAAAGCCCCTCCTCCTATCCTGTACAAACCCCAAACCCAAAACTGCAAAACCCTAAACCCCAAACCCTCGAAAAGCCCTAGCAAACATCCAAACCCTACCCATAGGCCCCATAGTAGTTCCTTTCTAGGATTACCTTATAGGGTTCTATATATGAACCCCAAAAAGGAACTACTTTAGGGCCTATGGGTACACCCTAAACCCCATACCCCCAAAAAGCCCAGCAAAAATTCGCAAACACCCTAAACCCTACACCCTAAACCCTAAACCCTAAACCCTAAACCCTAAACCCTAAACCGTAAACCCTAAACCCTAAACCCTAAACCCTATACCCCCAAAAAGCCCTAAGCGCCAAGAAAGCCACTGTCCCGGTGACCGACTTGGGCTCTGAGGTGGGCCGTGGCGCACTACGGCACGGATCTCGGCTTCAGGGCACAAGTTGGGTTTAAGGTGTAGGGTTGAAGGTTTAGGGTTTATAGGGTTTAGGGTTTAGGGTTTACGGTTTAGGGTTTAGGGTTGAAGGTTTAGGATTTTGGGTTTAAGGGTTAGGGTTTGAGGTTCAGGGTGATTCTTTGTCGTTTCACATCGTTGCCGTCTTTTTTGATGCTTTAGCAGCTTAATTGATCATGACTATGTTCATTGTGTCTGTATTGTTGTTCTTATAAACATTATAGCTGATGTTTTAATTCATGTGAACCCTAAACCCTAAACCAGTATCGCTCTTATTTGAGGTCTTGGGGGCCTAGCTTATGGGCTTATGTTGCAGTCTTTGAGGTCTCAATTTCCGTTTGCTAAGGCTTAATGGGCTTGAGAAGGTTGGAACATTAAAAGGACCATTACTTAATAATAAGGGCTTTGAAGCGGTCTTGTATATTAGTTCGAAACCCTAAACGGTAAACCCTAGTTGTACGATTTATTTATGGAGCGATTGAGTCTAAGTTTCCGAGGGTAGAGGGATTGAGCGAAACTGCTCGGATTTGGGTTTAGGGTTTTGGGTTGGGGGATTTGGGTGAGTTAGCATCCACAGATCTAGTATTCGCATACCGGGAGTTTTGCTCGCAGATGTTTGCAGAGGTTTTCGATGTCATTTCTCGGCGTGAGGAACAAGCCCCATATCTTACATTCCAGAAAGTCAGCTTTCAGCAGCAAATAAATTCCCCAAACATAAGACCTTAGTCGCAGTCAGCTCACTAACTTCAGCCGTTGCGGCAGGTTCCGAGAAATCATCATTGCAAGGATAGCTTAAAGCCTATGCCTGCAACCCGTAGGAGTCGCTTCTTGGCACGTAGCATCTTTCGTTCTGAGGAGCTTTGCTTCTTCATCGGTAAGGTTTTCCCAGCCTGAGAGTTTCCAAACGCCCACCGGTGATATAGTTTTGGAGTCTCTGACAAGAATCACCCGAACCTACAACAAATGCAGGAGCCTCAATGTCTCGTCATATGATAGCTGCAGCAGTGCCGATGCCATGATACTCAGCTCCTGCAAAAGACCCTGTTCGCCTTCTATGACTGCTCGCATTGGGAAAGTTCCGAAGTGACACATCGAGGATTTCCTAACATACTTGCAGCAAATCGCCTTGCACCCGAAACCCACGAAGCCCACAAATGCAAAAACAAAACACGAACGAAGATCCCTGACCCAACACAACGCGCCATTCTCGCGTGAAACAAAGTCTGAAGCTTGGCGAATCCTGACACCTCAACGCCAAAGTTTCTTATGGAGCACCTTTCAAAAACACTTTAACATGTAGAGGCCTATCGGGCCCAATTTCTGGATCCTCCAACATCCAGATACAGACCGAAAATCTCTATCAAGCCCTACGTTCCCTATGAAGAGCCTCCTTAAATCCGTAGGCCCTAGCCTAAAACCCCACCGAAAAGCCCCTAAAGAACAACTTGATTATCCAACAAAGTCGGTCTGAGACCCCTTAAGGAACCCTTTTAAGAACCCCCACGGGGCTTTATAAGAGGCCTTAATAATTAGAAGAGGGTGTTGGGGGTTTATCATACTATAATTATAACAAGGGACTTCCAAAACACTATTCTAATTATGAAGGCTCCTACGATAGTCCAACAAAATCGATCCGAGAAGGCTCCTGCGCTCTGTTTTGGGCCTCTCCGATGCTGACCGAGCTCCGGAAAGCTCCACAACGGCAAGGTGCCCCTATGTCTTATTGTTTAGTGAAGTCTAAGGGTTAAGGGTGTAGGGATTGAAGGTTGAAGGGTGCAGGGATTTAGGAGGTTAAGGGTAGTTTGTAAGGTTTAGGGTTTAAGGGTTACGGCAAGGTGCCTGCCCTGGGGCTAAAGGTTTTGAGGTTCAGGCTGTAGGGATTTAGGGTTTCAGGGTTCAGCAACTGTTCGGGCTTAAGGGGGTTTGTTTGGGGTTTAGGAATTTCCTCAGCATGCAGGAGTTTAGGGTTTAGTTTTAGTGGTGGCCCATTCCAACTCTGGAGTTTCTTGCTATATGGAACTCTTCGTCTTAGGAGCCCAGTAGGTAAACTTTAAACTTTTTGGTATACTAAAACACCCTGCTAAAAGAAGAGTTTAAACTTTTTTGGGCCAGGGTACTGGACTTCAAGGTCGTTGAGGCGTCCTTAGAATAAGAAGGTCCCGTACTTACACTCCACGTTCGAGTGTCTTTGTTGTCCCTGACTGTCAAACTGGGCTTTATAAGGTTAAGAAAGGGGCCTTTATAATTAGAGTAGGGTTTGGGTGCATATCATACTATGATTCTAATAAGGAACCCCCCCAAAACCCTATCTAATTATTAAGGCCCCTACCTAAGCGTCTCGGAACTGCCGGGTACAGCTTAGTTAGCCTGTGCGGTTTAGACCTCAATGAGGGGCCAGGCTTTCGGCTGTTTGATAGGCATTAGGGTTTAGGGTTTAGGGTTTAGGGTTTAGGGTTTAGGGTTCTGGTCTTTATGACTTCCGTAGTGTTTTTTGTTGTTGGAGCTCAGGATTCAGGACGCAAGCTAGACGGAAAAACCCAAAACCCTACACTCCGATGGTGTAGAGTGGACGAACTGGTGCCCGAAATCGATACAATGGAGGCCGTTGGCGCTCCGACAAGAAGATGCTGCCATTCTGCCTGGACTTGGTTGGCTGCGGGTTTCAGGGTTTCCCCCTGAAGCATCCTAAACCGTAAACCTTAAGCTCTGAACCCTAAGCATTTCCTGTTGCCGGGTTGGGCCTATGAACTTTGGGCTTTAGCATAGGACCGTCCAGGTCGCTGTGTTTCGGGTTTGTGGTTCGGGGGCATTGTTTTGTTGGTCTTTGATGGTGTCAGAGTTTACTGGTTTAGAGCTTAGGATTTGGGTTAGTTGCAGGGCATTTGAACGTGTTTGATGTCTTACGGAAGGTCTAGGCATCTCCACTGCCATCAAGCGGCATGAAGGTTCAAAATACGGTAAGCTACATGTAGTGCTATGTATGTTTGCAGATGGGTTTGTACCTTTCTGTTTATACGCATATAAGTACACATATTGCATGTGTTTACGCTGTGTTTCTTCATATGCATATTCTGTGTGCGTGCCCGATTTGACTAAGGACGGTAACCTGAAAGAACTCTCTATCACAGGGTGCCAACTGTCCTTATTTGGGGGTTTCCGAAAATATGGGACCCTAATACAGTACCCTAAATCCTAGTAGTAGAGTAGGTAACCTTTNNTTTTCGGGTAGTATATCCCTATGTAACCCCTATATACACCCAAAAGGTTAACCTTTAGTTCCCCATGATACCCGACAGGTCAGAAATAGTAGGATCCTTACTATAAGGACCCCAAAACAAGGTACCCCTAATTTTCGGAAACTTCCATTTACGCCTCCTGAAGGCTCATGGCTGCAAGTCGCTTGCGATTACTCCAAGCACCGTTGTAATTAGGTAGCCTCAGCCGGTTTAGGGTTTAGGGTTTAGGGTTTAGGGGTTTAGGATTTAGGGTTTAGGGTTTAGGGTTCAAGAGGCAGCCTCAGCTGCAATTACGTCTAACCCCGATTATGGTACGTGGTAACTTATAGTATATAAGTGCTCTGATCCTCCAAGAAGCGATGAAATCCTGTAAACCCTGATAGAACACTGGACCCCCAACTTCTAAGTCAAACTTCCTCGTAGCTTTTGCAGCGACTGCTGCTTAACTAAATCCCTAAACCCTAAGTCATATCATACGTCGGGAACTTCATCCATGGACCCCACTCCCTCCACATAAAACTAAAGACTAAAGCCTTGGTGCCAAAAGCTTGAGGGACTCTAACCGAAGTTTAAGGTTCAGGGTTTAGGGTTGAGTTTAGGGTCTACAGTTAGTTTGTGAGTTAAATCCTCTGTTGGAACCTACAAGCAACTCCATGGAACCCCAAACATTAAACTTTCCTAGCCCTCAAGCGCGTTTTGAGACCCTATAGAACCCTAAACCCTAACCTTTCCTGAACTTGCAAAACCTATAATAAATTATCAACCTGTAGAACTTAAAAAACCATCAGAACCGAACTTTCCTAACGCCTCATGACCTATGAAATCCCTGTAGACGAACTCTAAACCCTTAACTATGATAAACCCTCAACAACCCATGTTGAGCCTGTAGAGCCCCAAGCCGTGAACTTTCCCAAACCCTCAAAAGAGTATTTCATTAGGTTGAGCGCCTTCGTGTCAGCGCTGCGTGACGCAGGGGCCATCAAGCGAGGGGAGGCTTCTTCCCTTCAGGGCTTCGGGGTTGAGGGTTTGGGGTCTTTAAGGGTTCGAGAGCTGTGCTAGACGGGCTCTACAAGGAGTTCTACAAGGAGTTCTAGAGGGGTTCTGGAAAATTTCAACAGGATTTCTATCAGGATTTCATAAGGGTGCTTCAGGGGTTCCAGACGGAGGAAGTGAGCTTAATATAAGGGCCTTAATAATAGGGTGTATAGTACCCTATAATCATAATAAGGAACCACCCAAAATAATCTTGGTAGTTATTTAGCTAAACCCTAAACCCTAAACCCTAAACCGGTGGTTTTGAGTTTCGGTGGCTTGGGAGCTTCGCCTCGAATCCAGTTTCGGGATGTGGGAGTTTGGGGGTTCCGTCACCCTGAGCCGGTGTCTTCACACGGTTTAGGGTTTGGGTGTTTGGGGTTTAGGGTTTTAGGGTTTTAGGGTTTTAGGGTTTTAGGGTTTAGGGTTTAGGGTTTAGGGTTTAGGGTTTAGGGGTTGGGGGTTTAAGGGTTTAGGGTTTGCAGCCTAAGCCGGTGTCTTCACGTGTAGGATTTGATTTCCTTTCGAGCTGGCTGCCCCGGGATGTGTGCAAAGTTTCGTATTGTCTGTTCCGAGTTTGTGAACCCAAAGACCAAACATCAAGAAGCCCACCGTCCTGAAGTCCCAATATCAGACTAGAACTTTGTGATTACAACAGTTTAACAAAAGTATTATAACTTTGTGATTATAACAGTCTAACATAAATTGACTAACATAAACTGGCTTATTTTATCTGATAGGACTGAATATAATGTTCTCTAGTATAATGCAATATACTAGCCTCACCCGTGCACCACTGCGAGGGCTCTGGCCTCTTGGGCAGCTCCTTAGACTCGCCTCTCGTCAACAACACGGTTTGGGGTTTCTGCTTTCGGGCTTTCATAGGGGTTGTAGAGGGTTGTATAAGGATTTAACATAGTGTTGTTAATCATCAGAACTGGACTTTGGTATAGTCTAGTTTGTCTTCGTATATAAGGGGAGATTATTATTGGCTATTCCGACCCATATTTCCCTTTTTGTCCGAGACTTACTTTTTCAACTGCTAAGCTTTTGTGAATTAATGTTGTTCTGAATACCAGGTCCCAGTGGGCTTGTTTTCTCTTCTTGTGGTCTTAGCTTCCTCAAAACCTACCCGTTGTCAACAAGGGTGCCCTTGTTATTCCTAGGTTACTGGTGATCCTAGTGGAAATTTATACTTTGAGTTCCCTGAGTCTTCGTGAAAGGAGATAAAGGATTAGTTGATGAACCGGTACTGAACATCATCATCAACTAAAGGTGATGGGGTGGTGGTGGCAGTAGCAGTCGGCTTGTTTGCGGGGCGCATGCCCGACTTCCAACTTTGAGTTTCAACTAAAACCAACTCGTGAATGAAGCTAGTTGGATTGCAACTAGCCCTATATTATACTCTACCTAACAGCTACTGCGTAGTTAGGTTGGACCTGTAGCTTCTTGGGATTGTTGAGTTTGTGCTTGGTGGGATTGCGGGGCGTGAGTTTGGCCCGTAATTCGGGGTTTGGAGTTTTAGGGTTAGCGTTGAGGGCTGACGGGTGCTTCGGAGAGTGCTTAGGGTTGGTTCAAGACTCACAGGCTCCATGCACTTACCTAGTTTTTATTTCAGCTTTGAAGGGTTTCATACAGCAAGGTACAGTAGTATCAAAGTGTATGCTAGACAGATAAAGAGCCTTTAGGAAGACTTCTGACTTATGCAGTTCCCTTGCTGAGGGCCCCCAACTGAGAGAGTAAACATGCATATTGGAGGGCAGCGCAGTGGACGCGGCAGAACATCCTTCTCGGATGACAACTTGACTTCTGACACCTCTAATCGGAGGGTCCGTTTCGGATCCGATGCGAAAGAACAGTTATCCCTGACTGACGAAGGAGGCATTTGAACAGGGCGACAATAGTTTGCTTGTGTTGAAGATTG